CCCCCCGCCCCCACCGGCCCTGACTTCAGGACATCTTAAGGGAAGTGACAAACCCACGTTGCTGCTGTCCTGTGGGGGTGGCAGTATTTGGGCTGTGTGGCCATCTGGTGGGGACAGGAGGGTGTGAGGCTGAACGGGGGTGAGGAGGATGCCCCAGGGTGTGGGGTGTGGGCACAGCCAGAGGGGTGCCTGGGGAGCTGTACCAGGTCAGAAGGGCTCTGAACTTAGACCCAGCATTCACAGTCGACAGGAGTCTTCCCAGGCGGGCATCCTGTTCTTGGGGACGCAGGCAGGGCTGAGTAACAGCAGGGCCTCAGCCACACCCCTGCATGCGGGGGGCTCCGTAGGGGGAAGGATGATTCCTCAGGATTAGAAAGGACTTAGTGAAGGGAGGGGAAGGAAACACCTCAGACTGCCCACTTGGCAGGTGGGGTTGCCCAGTGAAGGAGCTGCGGTGTGGACGGCACGTGTGTGTCCTTGGGTTGAGATCCTGACCCCCAGTGCGATGGTTGAGGGAGGGGGTCTCTGGAGATGCTTCGGTCCTGAGAGTGGAGCCCTCACGAGTGGGGCTGGCGCCCGGGTTTGGCGGCCTCAGCGAGCTTGGGAAGACAGCCGGCCGTGAACCAGGAGGCGGCTTCTCGCCAGACGCCGAATCTGTGGGTCCTTGATCTTAGACGTCTTAGTCTCCACAACTGAGACGAAGAAATGCTTATTGTTTAAGCGCCCTGGTCTGGGTGATGGTGCGGCAGCCGGAGCTGGTGAGAGACAGGCTGGCCCCCGAGAAGAGCCCCACCCTGCACTGTCCAGTCTTGTCACCACTCCAGCCATCACTTCCTTGACCTGGAAAGGAAGGGAGCCAGGATTGAAGAGGGCTCCCTCCGGTGCCAGCTGGGAGGAGCGGGAAACCTTCCCCCCGACGTGATGGTCAGGGTCGGTTGGCCGAGTTCTGAAGTTCCACAGGGGCCCTCTCTGGATGGCCGTCGGGGGGAATGGTTGGCACCATCTCGAGGGCAGGTTTCCCTGCAAGGGG